TCCACGCGTTTCGTGGTCTCAATAGGAGCTCCAACCACCGAATTCGCATGCGTCACCGCCTCAAATTACGGCACACCCCGTCACACGGTTCGTGGCCCCATAGGGAGCTCCACCGAAGGCCCCAGTGGGTCGCCGCCTCAAATTACGGCACACCCCGTCACACGGTTCGTGGCCCCATAGGGAGCTCCACCGAAGGCCCCAGTGGGTGCGTTCGCCAGCGGTCCACCGAGCCACCCTATTTCGGCACCCCCTCACCGCGTTCCGTGGCCCCATAGGGAGCTACACCGAAGGCCTCAGTGGGTGCGTTCGCATGCGTCACCGCCACCCAGTTCGGCACACCCCTCACGCGTTCCGTGGCCCCATCAGTGGGTGCGTTCGCATGCGTCACCGCCACCCAATTCGGCACACCCCTCACACGGTTCGTGGCCCCATAGGGAGCTCCACCGAAGGCCCCAGTGGGTGCGTTCGCATGCGTCACCGCCTCACATTTCGGCACACCCCTCACACGGTTCGTGGTTCCACAGGGAGCTCCACCGAAGGCCCCAGTGGGTGCGTTCGCATGCGTCACCGCCACACATAACGGCACACCCCTCACACGGTTCGTGGCCCCATAGGGAGCTCCACCGAAGGCCCCAGTACCACCGCCAGCATGCGTCACGCACACCCGCAGTTGAAGAAGATGCTCACACTTGCGGCACCAACAACTGCAATGGTTGGGTCCTTAGCCAGGATAACTGGAGTACTTGTGAATATTTTTCTTTTTTCGTCCAAGAACCGTCTGTAGGGGAACATGCCTGGCCTAAGATGAGTAGGCCGACCCTACCAGATCAAGGGTACCCCTGTGTCTTGTGCTTCCTGCTTCTCCGCGGCCGCCTCTTTCTTTCCTGGCCTTCCCCTTTTGCGCGCGGGACAATTCGCCACGCCGTGGCCCGGGTTGCTGGACGCGCGAGCGGATCGCCTCTGCCACGCCGCGACTGAAAAAGTGCCTTGTGTCTCGCGACCCATGTCTTCCACATTCTTGCGGCAACGTGGCCTTGAGAAGGGTCTCGTGTCCTTTCGCGTGTACTCCCCGATCAAATTCGATTGTACTGCAGGCCTCCCAGATGGGGTCGGAGGAGATCGCGCCGCATCGCCGATGCATCGGTGATGCTGCTCGATGTGGGCCCGATTTTCTTCACGCCAACGGCGCCGATGCATCGCCGACGTCCCGGGATGCATCGCCGATGCGTCGGCGATGCATCGGCGATGCGGCGCGATCCTCCGACCCCATCTACTCGGACCCCATCTGGTAGGCCTCTTAAGCACGGCCTGAAATTTTGGCTTAGCGTGTCGCGCCGCCGATTCTGGCCCGCCACGCTTCGGCGCGGCGTGCTGGCCACGTCCCAGTCCCCGAGCGTCAGCGTCCCGAGCTGTTCCTGGCCTCCCGCCCCGTGGATCAGAGCGACACGCCATGCGGCTTGCAGGGCATGCCATGTCGCCGGGGCCTCCGCCGCAGTCGCGACGGGAGGTTGTCGCCCATCTTCGGCCTCCAGGGGCCCTTGGCTGGGCACGGCTGGGCCTCGTCGGCAAGACGGCTCGGGATGAGAAGCCGGTCCCGTGGGAAGACTCGCAGGAAAGCTTGCAGCGGCTGCTGGCGGCTTGGCCGACGTTTCGCCCTCTCGCACGCGGCCCCGTTTCCGAGCGGGCTGGCGAGCGAGAAGAGAGCGCCGCGCCCAAGCCTCCTTCCCCGCCCTCCCCCTCCTTGATTCCTTCTTCTCCTACTCCTCCTCCTCCTCCTCCTCCTCCTCCTCCTCCTCCTCCTCCTCCTCCTCATCGCCCTCATCATCATCATCGTCCTCGTCCTCGTCCTCCTCCTTATCCTCCTTGATTCCTTCTTCTCCTCCCCCCTTATCCTCCTTGATTCCTTCTTCTCCTCCCCCTCCCCCTCCCCCTCCTTGATTCCTCGTCCCCCTCCCCCTCCTTGATTCCTTCTTCTCCTCCTGCTCCTCCTCCTCCTCCTCCTCATCATCATCATCATCATCATCGTCCTCGTCCTCGTCCTCGTCCTCCTCCTTATCCTCCTCCTCATCATCAGCAGCATCATCAGCTTCATGATGATGATTATCACCATCATAATCATCAGCATCATCATCGTCATCATCATTATCATCATCAGCATCATCGTCATCGTCGTCGTCATCGTCATCGTCATCATGATGATGATCTTCATCATCTCATCATTATCATCACCTTCATCATCATCGTCATTATCATTATCATCATCGTCATCATTATCATCATCAGCATCATCAGCATCATCGTCATCATCATCATCATCAGCATCAGCATCAGCATCATCATCATCATCATCAGCATCAGCATCAGCATCAGCATCATCATCATCGTCATCATCATCATCATCATCACCATCATCATCATCATCATCATCATCATCATCATCATCATCATCATCATCATCATCATCATCATCATCATCATCATCAGCATCATCATCATCATC